ATACAAATGCTCTTCAGGTAGCACAGATCATCCCTCTGGAGAAAACAGTCGCCACAGGAAACTGACACTGTTTGCCCAAAGCCAGAGCCCTCTCCCAGAGCCTCTTTCTAGATCCCGTTGTATTTATTTCCACAATGGGCCTTATTTCTAGTTTGTTCATATAATGGCATAGTCTCTCTTTTTCTTAGTGATGGTTTTACTAGCTGAAAGATTATCTGGGATAACAAATTACAATACTATCTTACAACAACTACTACTGCTACTACAAAATTGTTACTGTAATACCCAGTAGGATGTGATAAACTGTCAGTAGGGTTCCCAAATCCCCCCGGGGGGTGGATTTCCCCCCGCTTTCAAGGCCCGATTCCCGCTCCCGTGGAATTGGGGCCCGGGGAAAACCTCAGCCCCGCGTGCGCGCCACCCGGAAGTGACATCGCATGCTGGGGGTGGGGCCACACCATTTGAGGGGAAAACTCTTTGTTTTCCCCTCAAATGGCGTGGCCCCGCCCAGCGTGTGACGTCACTTCCGGTGACTCTCCGGAGCGCGTGCACGATTTAGACGCCAGCCGGGAGCCCCCCGCTCCCAGCCAAAATCCATTTGGCAACCCTAACTGTCAGTGGTCTTAGAAGGGTGTAATTCTGCTTAGGTTAGATCTGTAAGATTATCAAATTGATTTTCTTATGTTTGTTCAGCACTGATATTCCAGGTAAAGATCTTTTCTATGCCATAGGTATTCCTTAGGATGTTTGTATATCCCAATTGTCACGGGCTGGGGTGCCAGTCAAAGCGAGTCCAGAACAAGCCAAGGTCAGGAGCCAAAAAGACAGTGCAAAGTCCAAAAAGCCAAGCCGGGGTGAGGAACACAGTGCCAAGTTCAAAGCCAGGGGGTCCAAAGGTCTAGGTGCAAGAGCCAAGCCGGAGTGGATGCTAGCAGCACGAAGCTGACTTTTTGCTTCCACGAAGGGTACTGCCCAAAGTGTGGAGTTAAATGCTGCTACCAATTAGCCAGCTGCACGATCAGCCAGGCTCCTGTTAGAACTCTGGGCTGGCTGAGCATCTCCCTTGTAGCCTGGCCTCTCTGTCTGCTTGCTACGTCAGGAGGTCTTTCAGCTTGCAGTTCTTCCTTCTTATCCGGGCCAGGAGTGAAGACACACTCTGTCAGCTCATCCTCATCCATGCCCATGACACCAATGTACTTTTTCACATTCATGGTACTGTACCAGCACTAAAATAAGTGCAAATGTACCGAAGCAACAAGTGTATGAACAGATGTAACAGAATTATCAGCAACATGCCTCCTAAAGCAAAATTCTAAACAAATCTAAATACACCTCTTCAAGGGAAACATTGGAGAAATTGTGAAGGAAGTCAAAGGAGACTGAAGAATGCCAGTTAAAATCATTGAGGGTGGGGCTGTTAATTGCAAGTTAATTTGAAGGTGTCCTTATGCAAAACTGAGGATTTTGGAAGAGAAACTAAAATATTTCAATAGTACTACAGAAATGTCTTCAAGTGTGTGTGTGGGGGGGTGAAGTCATACAACCCATATTTTTAACAAAATCACAAAATGAAAAAGAAAAATAATACATTTTGAAAATAGTAATACAACTTTATCAATGCCATGTATGGGCAATATATTTTATTCTTATTTCAGATATTCAGATCACTAGCTAATGTGTTTGTGATGTACTTTCTTTACCACATTCATATGACAATAGTTTTTCTTCTACTAACTTAAATGGTATTGCTTCCAGAGATCCAGATAGACAAGACTGAAAAACCTGAGGAAGTTGAAAAAAGGCCTCCACTAAAAGGTAATTGTTTTTATCATGTTTGTATTTTTATTTTATCATGTTTATACTTGTTTTATCATGTTTGTACTTGTATTTTGTATGTTTGTACATAAATGCTGAAAAACCTGCTCTGCAAACATGCACAAAGAATAATAATAATAAGAGATTGGATTTACACCCCACCCTTCACTACCCAAAGGTGTCTCTGAGCAGCTTACAACTCCTCTCCCTTCCCCTCCTCACAAAAGACACCCGGTGAGGTAGGTGGGGCTGAGAGAGCTCTTGACAGAAACTGCTCTTTTCCAAGAACAGCTCTTATCAGAACTACGGCTTGCCCTAGGTCATCCAGCCAGGTGGAAATGGAGGAGTGGGGAATCAAATCTGGTTCTCCCAGATTAGAGTCCGCGCACTTAATCACTACACCAAACTGCTCTCAAAGATCTTATAGCAGACTGAATAATCTTATCTTTTAGTTGAAAGATCATCCATCGATAAAGGACTACGCATGATGAGTGACTCTGGAGAAATTGCTAGATCCCTGTCACTCAGGTGCAGTGGAGAACTTCTTGTAATAGATAGGATCCAGCAACACTGCCATAATACTTCATTTTACTTTGGGAAGATTGCACTGAAGTTTATGGAAGTGCCCATTATTATCAATTAGAATGAAACAGAATACATTTCAACTTTCTGCTGAAACAAATGGTCATCTTGGTGTCTAGATATACAGCACAGTGAGGTGAGTGCTGGTGAGGCAGAATGGACTGTACCACTGCAGGTTAAAGATGACTTATGCTTGATCACTTGCCAATTTGGCTCTTGTACTCACTCATCTTTTACAATGCTTTCTCACAGTCTTGCTGCTGCTTCCAATTTTAAAATAATAATAGTTAAAAAAAATCCCATTTGATATATCTCCCTTGTAGCCTTTTCCCCATTTGATACATCTCCCTTGTAGGTTATTTGATACATCTCCCTTGTAGGTTATTTCCCATTTGCTAAAAACACATATTAGGTGTTTTTGTGTGTCTTGGGTATCTTTCCATTAACTCAGCTAATCTTGTGATCAGTTCTTGTGACCCCTTCTTCAGTAGATACCACTGACTATTTAGGTGCAAAATGTAAGCAATGCAATCTAGCTGACATTGCTCACGTAAAGGATGCTTCTTACTCACTGTGCAGGCACAGATTAGGCACACATATAAGCGCTGTTTTACCCAAGTCATCCCGTTTAATGATCTAATTATGTCTCTGGGGGACATGTGCCTCTTCTCCAGCAACTGCTGTGATTTAGTTCCTGAACTGAACGAAAGCAGCTGCAAGTTGCAGTGCTTTCACCTTGTAGCACAAGTGGCTGCTGTGCAGGTACAAAGCTGCTCAGCACAGTGCTATGGCTGAGACAAAGTTTGTAAGGAAATTGATCAGGAGGTTTCTTATGTGTCATCAAGGGTAAATTCAACTGGCAATTCAACTGAAAACATCCTTGCTGGATTAACACATACAGCTTTGAAAAAGATTCTGTTGTTTAGATGACATCTCACAAGTTGTGAGATGACATCTCACAACCTTTTTATAATGACCTCCCAGAACAAAAAAGAAGGTTATTTCCCATTTGCTAATTTATACAACTGAACAGAACTTTTAAAACTTCCCATTGAGGCAGAGTTAAAAACTGACCTTGGTAAAAAAAAAAAGATACATTATACATACTTAAGGCTAACACAGAGTTCACTGTTACAGGTGTTCGCATGGGCCAAGAGCTAGGAAAAAATATGCAGAGTAAATGTCTGCACTGTGTAATATCCAGCTGGCCAAGCAGAGTGGATTGTGGAAAAGTACAGAACATATTGTTATGATGAGCACATGTATTTTTTCTGTTGCCAGATACAAGATGAACACTCCAATTAGTTTGCCAGTCCTACCCTTTGAGATTTAACATCATAGTCACAGCACAATATGCTAATCTTCTATTGTAAGACAACAGTGATTGCTGCTTCCTCATAAGGACGTGGAAAGAGTATGGCTTGAGGCTAGACACTTGTCTAGGAATGGCAGATGCTGCCAAAATGTAAGACTTCAAATTCCAGGAGTGATTAGACATTTTGACATCTCTTGCATGACACTGAATATCTGAAGCAGTTAGGCTATGCAAGCATGTCTGGGATTAATTAAATTTTGATAATTTTGATTAAATCTACCTGTATGTGTGTGATTCTTTTTATATTGTTGTTTTTATTGGCTTGTTATTTTGGACTTTGGCTTTAAAGTGGGGCTGAAATTCAGTTAACAATGAACATCATCTCAAACAAATGAACATCATCTCACGACAGAGTTAGAGATTATTAGAAAAAAATTGACTCTTTCTCTTTCAAAAAATGGCCACACTGAAAAATCCTGAAAATATTTGGGATTTTTCAGGACTGCCGAATAGCCTCAGTTAAAGGGCATTTAAAGGGCTCTCAGTCCCTTTAAGTGCCTTTGGAGTGAACTCTCAGCATGGAGAAGGCATTTAAAGGGACAGTGAACCCTTTAAATGCCTTTGGAGTTCATTTGCCATGGGGTCATGTGGCATGGAGAAGGCACTTAAAGGGACTGGGAGCCCTTTAAACACCTTCCCCCCTCCACCGGAAAAAATGGAGGATGGGGGCACATTCTTATGGGGCCCATAGAATTGGATCCTCTGGTCCAATCTTTTTGAAATGGGGGGGGGGGTTTGAGGAGAGGCACTAGCAGCTGTGCTGCAAATTTGGTGGATATACCTCAAAAAACAGCCCCCCAGAGCCCCAGATAGTAGAGAATGAGCAGTGAATTAGCATACAACATAATGAAGATGTTTAACAGATGCAAGGACCGAACAGGAGCAACAAGGTTAGTTCTTATGTTCACCATGTGTTTGGATCTAATACTGGGGAGAACATAGTGAAGCAATAAATATATCAAAATTGGAGATTGACATGTAAATGTACCCTTCTTAATTGTGGAATGCTGAGAGTAATTAACCGAAACCCTGTTACTCTCCATCCATCTCCTCTCAAGCATGGAGGTGACTAACAGCATCTTTTTCTTTACTGTGGGGTGATTGGTTGTGCAGTGTTATGTCTCCTCTGATCTCCTCCAGTGCCCTCTGGCTTTGCAAGGCTGCCAGCAAGCTGCTGGAGGGGGGCGCTGTCATTTATTCTTCAGCCCCTGAGTCATGGGGAGACAGAAAGGCAAGATTTTTTTTAAAAAAAAAACTTGCTGATTGAGCATTTCTTTTGTGCCCCACAGGATTTTCCAATGCCCCACTAACCAAAATTTTCTGGCTATGCTCCTGTCATGTCCCCACTCCCCCTTTTCCTATTGGGAGCCATCCACTGGTTAGCAACATTATGCATCCCACCTATCATGAAATGCTACTGTCAGGCCCCCAGTCAGCTCACTCTCAACACAAGTCTAGTTGAAGAAACTTTATTGAAGAGATTTGAGATGTCTTGAAGCTGAAAGTCTTTGTTAGGACTAAGGAGCAAAGCCACAGGTCCCCTAGGTATAATCAAAAGCCACATTCCCGTCTTACGTCATACATACAAAGCAAAACTAATACCCCTGACTGTTATATGGGCAATTCAAACTGACAATTCAAAGTCTTAGCTTCAAGGATGAGAGTCTGTGAGATCTCACGCCTTGAGGTGCATGTTTTGAGAAGAGTTACAGAGCAGCCCATTGCATCGTCTACTCCTACATTCAAACTTAGTCTTACACTCATTCACACTCCCCACCCCCCAGGAATGTCATGTCAGTGCGGGCAATAAATACCGGGCTGGGAAAAAGAACTAAATGAGCAAAGAACAACAGGTAGTAAATAATGAAACAGATACATAGACAGCCCCAGTCTGACAGCTACTTGTGAGAAACAGGAAAACATAAAGGGAGTCTGTAGCAGGAAGGGAGAATTGGTATAAATTGCCAGTTTAGTCTTACTTTAACCCATGGTTTACAAGGGCAGGTCTCAGAGGGAAGGAGATTTTACAGGGCCAAACACAAGCAACAACCAATTTCATATACGGTAATCTTTCATATTACACCAGCAACAAAAGGCCATGATCAATCTCATCCCTCTGTTGGAAGTAGGGTTGCCAACCCCTGATGGGGGTGTGGGTTTCCCCTGTTTCAGTGGCCCCAATCTGACACCAGCCAGCTGGCCGGTGGGTGAGCCCCACCCCTTAAGTGTCCCAGTGCACCCTACATTCCTGGTGCGATGACATCACCTGGAGGTGACATCATTGTGCCGGGCATGTTGTTCAGAAGACATTCTAGCATTTGGGTTAAAAGTCTATGGTGACCAGAAGAGTCCAGGAGCTGTCCTGGAGTCTCCCATCAGGATGAAGGTAAGACTGGCAACCCTAATTGGAAGGCTTTGTGCCAGAAACAGGATGACATTTTCTTATTGGCTAATAACTGCTAGCCAGAAAGATAGCTGGAAGAACTTTCAGAGCTTTTCATAGGGGACCCTGTTTGGATGGAAAGATGGTGTAGAAATGTTTCAAATAAATAAATATAAATAAAATAATAATATCACAGAATAATGATGGCCTGGTAATTGTTGAAACCTACAATTGGCTGATGCCTATGGATGCAGGATGGTGTTGCGGTCTCCTGAGCTGAAATACTTGCATTTGAAAAATCTATTGAAAACCAGTTCAGTTGTATACCTGAAGTAACAATGATGACTTTAATAGGACCATGCCTCCTTCCTGCCACTCAGCCAGTTAGAGTTCCTAAGACTGAGTTATTGGATCTTGACAACTATTCAGTACATTTTCTAGCTAGTGCCCTGAGGTGATTTGAAGGGAGGCCAACTGTGGGTGGTTCCACACATGTTTATGTTTTGAAAGAGGGAGACACCGAATATATCCCTTTTCCTGAGTTGGAGGGTCTCTGTCCTCATTCCCAGAAAACTGGGGCTTAATTTTGACATTAGCCTGTGATACAACTTCCTCTCTGTCCTCCAAAGGACTTGTGGACTTCCTGGAATACCCTCCTGA